TGCTGGCTATCAGCTGAAATCCAGTCTCTGCTCCTAGATCAAGAGTGGCTAAAGTCCTTCCCATACTTCCAATCACTTTCATTTCTCCATCTGCTATATCTCTCTGACTTTAGTTGGGGAAAGTTCTTTGCTTTTAAGGGCTCATGTGATTAGACTGGGTTTACCCCAATAATCTGGGATAATCTCCCCATCCTCAATTCTGTAACCTTAATTATATCTGCAAAATCCCTTTTACTATGTTACATATGTATTCATAGGCTGCAAGGATTAGGGTGTGTACATCTTTGGGTAGCCATTCTACCTACTGCACTCAACAATGTCCCATTCACAATGTTCAGCATCCAATTAAGGCATTCCAGATATATGCAGGAAAATATAACTTACATCCAGGAGGGGGAGAAATATGTTAATATATATTTTTTCATTTTATTTTATTTTTTAGTAATCTCTACATTCAAGGTGGGGCTCAAATTCACTACTCTATAATCAAGAGTCAAATGATCTTCTGAATGAGCCAGCCAGCTGCCCCCAAAATATAATATAAATAAGCAGCAGTGACAGAAACAATAAAACTAGGAAATAAGGATTTTAAAAGTTATTAAAAATATAACCAATGTTTTAAAGAAAAAAACATAAAGACATTGAGGAAATAAGTGTAAACTAAACAGAGAGAACTAAACAGTATTTTTGTTGTTGTTGTTGTTGTTGTTGAAAATGCATTATCTGAAATGAAATTTTCACTGGATAAGCATAAGTTAGACCTGAAGAAAAATCAGCCAGTAAACCTGGAGATTTGTCAAAAGAAACTGTAAAAACAGAAGTACAGAGAGAAAATGTTGATGAATAAAATAACCAGAGCCTTAGTGATCTCTGGGATAATACCAATCAATCTAACATATACATAATTGCAATCCCAAAATACAGAAGGTTAAACAATTCTTTTTCTACTTTTGCTAAAAAATATCAATCCCATATTAAAGAAGCCTCATGCAGGATAAACACAAGAAACCCAATCAAGACATATCATAATCAAAGTGACTGAGGCAATCAAGAAAAAATTTTAAGCAGACAGGGCAAAGTGGCAGGGAACACAGTATACACACAAAAATTAAGAAGTACTGCTGACTTCTCATAAGAAACAATACAATGCTAGGGAACACAGAACATCTTTAAAAGGCTGAAGAACAATAATCTATCTTCCTAGAATTCTATATATACATAATGATTCCTTCAAAACTGAGGTAAAATAAAAACATTCCCAGACAAATGAGAGATGAAAGAAATTGTTACCAACAAAGCAACACTACAAAAGATGATAAAGGTAGCATGGGGATCCCTGGGTGGCTCAGCGGTTTAGCGCCTGCCTTTGGCCCAGGGCGCAATCCTGGAGTCCCGGGATCGAGTCCCGCGTTGGGCTCCTTGCATGAGCCTGCTTCTCACTCCTCCTGTGTCTCTGCGCCTCTCTCTCTCTCTCTCTCTCTCTCTCTCTCTATGTCTATCATAAATAAATAAATAAATCTTTAAAAAAATGATAAAGGTAGTTCTCTGGGTAAAAGAAAATGATAGTAGTAAAATGTAATGGGATATAACCAAAAGAATGAAGAACACTGAAATTAGTAAATATGTGGGTAAATATAAAAGTTATTTTATTCTCTTATTCAATTTATTTAAAACACAGCTTATTAAGAAAAAAACAATGTATTTGTAAGCCTTTTACATTTTACATAAAGTGGCATAATTTTACTTCAGGTAGATTGTGACAAGTCAAAGATGAATCTACTAAACTGTAGATGTTTTCCAGTCCCCAAATACATAAATATATCCATCCATACATACATAAAATATAGCTAATAGAGGAGATAAAATGAGGAGACAAAATACTAAACAGAATAACAAAACAAAAACCTCAACTAATCTAAAGAAGCCCTGCAGAAAGGTAAAAGGAACAAAGAGCATATAGGACAAATAGAAAACAAATAGCAAAATGGTAGACTTAACCCAATATATCAATAATTACATTAAACATAAATGGACCGAACACACCAATTAAAAGACAGAGATTGTCAGACTGAATTAAAAAGCAAGATACAATTAAAAGACAGGGGAGGTGAAAATAAATAGAGAAGAAAAGATACACGTGGCAACACTCATCATGAGAAAGCAGGTGTGGCTATATTAATATCAGAGAAAGTAGATTTCAGAAGACCTATTACCAGAGATAAAAAGAAAAATTGCATAGTGACAAAAGGGTTAATTCATCAAGAAGATATAACAGTACTAACTGCATAAAATGGTATAACTGCTTGGGAAAGCATTTTGGCAATTTCTTTTAAAAGTGAACATGCACTTACCATATGCATGCAATATGCAATTCCATTCCTAGATATTTACCCGCAAGAAAGAAAACATGAGTACACAAAAAGACTTATAAATGAATATTCATAACAGCTTTACAATAATAGTCCCAAAACTAGAAACAACACATGGGAGTAACAAATTGTGCAATATTACTCAATAATAAAAAGGAACTACTGCAAAACATCACCATGAATCTCATAAACATGCTGAATGAAAGCAGTCAATCACAAAAGAATACATACCACTTAATTCCATGTATAAAAAGTACTAGGGAAAGCAAAACTTGCCTTTAGTGATATAAATTAGATGGTGGGGGGGGGGTGACTGCAGAGAGCCATAAGGGAATTTTCGGATTGTGGAAATGCTCAATAAAATGACTGGGGTGGTTGTTACACAGTTTATACATTCGTCAAAATTCACCGATTATACTTTTGAAATGTAAAAATCTTATTTCTGTAAATCAGGACTGGATTTGTTGACTTGCAAAACAACAATAACAACAAGGGTCGGGAGTTTTAAGGAGAGTTAACAGGGCAAAATGCCACAGAAAAAGAGAAAACTCTGAGAATTGAAAAGAATTTGTTTTTACTACAAGGAAAGCATGAGTGATTTTACAGAGCATTTTATTGAAACGATGTGTAGAATCCATGATGCAAGACATTTTAGTTATACTTATCTAGACTGAGAAATTCAAACAGACACAAATGCAGACTATTCTATTCCAATTAATGCTTCTCAAACTTCAGTGTGCATAGGAATCCCCTAAAGATCTTGTTTAAACGCAAGTTTTGACTCAGGAAGTCTCGTGTAAGAGCTGAGCTTCTGCATTCGTAACACAACACCAGGGGATGATGCTGTTGCTGGTTCATCTACTGCACTTTAAGTAGCAAGAACCTGGATCACTTTTCTGAGGCATCAACGGTTCGTATCCCGGTGACAATCTGGTCTAGAAATTCCCCAGACCATTCCTACCATCAGCCACATGCACACTGACAACCCAGCCCGCTTCCTACTAGTGGATGTAACCAGTACCAGGTGCTTAGGATGCTCTTGAAAATAACAGTGGGGGATCCCTGGGTGGCGCGGCGGTTTGGCGCCTGCCTTTGGCCCAGGGCGCGATCCTGGAGATACGGGATCGAGTCCCACGTCGGGCTCCCGGTGCATGGAGCCTGCTTCTCCCTCTGCCTGTGTCTCTGCCTCTCTATCTCTCATTCTGTGTGACTATCATAAATAAATAAAAATTAAAAAAAAAAAAAGAAAATAACAGTGATTTCACATCAGCAGCCTTGGGTTCAAGTCCCAGTTGTTTCTATTCAACTACAATCCGAGTGAGTCATTCCCAGGCTGCAAAAGGAGAGAATAGTTCCTGTTTCTCCCCTCTAGGCGGTCGTGATGACTCCAACAGAAAACGTAAGTGAAAGTATTGCATGAACTATAACCTTAAAAAAAAAAAAAAAAAAAAGGATGGCTGAACTTGTCAGGCCAAGTGGGCCATAAGTACCACAGACTTTGAGAACCGGGCGGGACCTAAAAATAAAAGCGGGGGATGCAGGGGCGGGGGCGGGGGCGGGGGCGGGGGGGGTATCTGGGATTATCCCTGCGGGCAAGCAAGGACCGGACCATATTATAGGGGAGGGGAGCCCCGTCTAAAAAGTCAGCTCCTGTTTTCAAAATTGTCCCTAAATTATGAAACCTGAAAAAGGAACTTTTCCCTTATTGATATATTTCAGCTGGAGCCTAACTCGACGTCCAGTGATGCTACTGCTTCAGGGCTACCGATTTCAAAGAAAATCCTACCCACGCGTCTCCGTCCCCTTCTCCCACCGCTTCGTCACCTTTCTGCCCCCGCCCCCTGCGGCCCCCACCCGGGGGCAGTAGTTTCCACTACGCTCCAGGGGGAGGTGGCCACGGACTCCTCCATCGACTTGCCTCGCGGGGGGGGGGGCGCGCGGGCTGCCACGTTGCAGAGAATCGTAAGAGGTCAGGCCGGGAGGCGCCGAATCCCGAGGAGGTCCCAGCCGAGGCCGCGGCGCGGGTGCGGGCGGCGACGGGGGGAGCCCCGGCCGCCGGGCCCGCGCGCAGCTCTGCGCCTCCCCGCGCCTCCCCCCCGCAGCCTCGGCGGGATGGCGCCGGCGGGAGGGGCGGGGCCAGGCGCGGGCTGCCGCCTCGCCTCGCCTCGCCTCGCCTCGCCTCGCCTCGCCTCGGCCGCGGCCGCCCCCGCTGCTGCCGGAAACAATAGTGGAGGAGCCCGAGGCGCGCGGAACGGCTGCTGCGGCGCGCGGAGCCGACGGTAAAGCCCTCGCGCCCCGGTCCCCGGCCCGCCCGCGCCGCCGCCCCGAGCCCCGTGGCCCTTCGCCCGGCTCCGCGCGGGGCGCCCCGACGGACGCAGACGCGGTCCCGGGTCCGGGCATCCCGAGCGGCGGGCGCGCGCCGCCAACGCCGGATGCGGACCGGGCGCCCGGCCCCCGAGGCGCGGAGTCCCGGGCTGCGCGGCTGCCTCGGCCCTCGGACGCCGGCTTCCTGGGTGGGAGGAAGCCCGGGGCGAGCGGACCCCGCGGCGCCTCGCGGCCCGGCGCGGACGCCCCGGCCCCGGCCGTGCCCGAGCCGCACGGGGAGCCCTCGCTGCCCGGCCTGCCTGCCTTCGGGCGCGGTGGCCGCTGCCGGGACGTCGTCCCCGCGTGCTCGCGCCTCCACGTGTGTGTTGGTGCCGCTGCCGCGATGGGAAGGAAGCCTGCGTCCGTCGAGCTAGCGGAACGCTCCTAAGGGTTCCCACGATGAAGTTGGCAAAGCCGTGTCCCGAGCAGGTTTCCTGCAGTTAAGAGCGTTAAGTAGGTTGCAGGACGCCCCCCCCCCCCCCGGCAGCGCCGCCGAGCCGTCGCGGCGGGTCGGGGCCGGGGCGGGGTCGGGGCAGAGCGGGACCCCGCAAACTGCTTTCCTTCAGAACCCCCCCTTCTCCGCCACATGAAACGCGGCATCAGAAAGGGCGCTTGGGCGTAGTGACCCCTGTGGCGAGGCTGTAAGTTTTGCTGGCTTTGTGTCTGTCTACTCGGTACAAGTGTGACCTCGAAGTCCAAGCATGGCGATGCTTGCTTGATGCGTCTGTTGCAGGGGATCCAAGAGCCGCCTCCTCCCAGAAGTTCCTGGGACTTGCCGCGCTGTCAGAGCTCTTGAAGCGGCCTGACCTTCCCTCTCTGTTTCTTAACAGGGGCACTATGCACGAAGAGGAGCAGTTCGTGAACATTGATCTGAATGATGACAACATTTGCAGCGTTTGTAAACTGGGAACAGACAAAGAAACGCTCTCCTTCTGCCACGTTTGTTTTGAGCTAAACATTGAGGGTAAGGACGCAGTATAGGTTCACTTTATGGCATGAACTTGACACAAACGACTTCTGCTGAACTAGGCACAAGGTAAAATAAAATGTCTTGAGTGATTGGAAATTGCGCCCAGTATGATGCGTGAAGACCTGTGAAAGATAAGGATTTATGGAAACGAAGCTGAAGTTCTCACAACTGTGAACTTAAATCTTTTCCCTTTTTTAAACTCCCCAGTACTAACCCCATTTTTGCTAATATAAAAACAGAGAGTGAATATCGACTGGTAAACGCCTTTTCTGGTTTGAGACCTTACTAAGCTGTCACGTTTAACAGACCTGTGTGGATGCTTTTGTTCTTTTTGTATTAAGAACATAACCAGACGTTTGTGTTGATGGGCACATGTAATTTAAATCCTTTGGCCTTCCAGGCTGGTACCTGACTGAGGTGAACCAGAAACTCTTCCCTAGTGCTGTCTTATCCGGAAAAACATTTTTAGATTTTTACATGACTTCTTTCCAGTGATCACACACACTTTTAATGATTTCTAAAAACCAAAAAAGGTTTTTTACATTTCCTAATAGTATCTCTGAAAGCATATGAAAAAGAGTTCTCCAAATATTAAAAAAAAAAAAATGTTATCGTGTACTATTTGTTTGGATTGATGTACAGTTAATGTGTGTATGGACATTAATTGTTTGCCCCCAAGAAACATGCGGGATATGTTTCTTTAATCTTGATGTTATGGTAAAACCTTGATTTAAAAAAAAAAAACAACTTAGGACTCAAACTAAAAAATCTTATATTCTTGTAATAAAAAATTATAATTATATGATACTCATTTTCCATTTAAGATAGTTTTGGTAATGAAAGTGTTGCCATTTTTTTCTCTGGAAGAATTGCAGTTGCTGAACATTTTAATTGATGGAAGATCAAGGATTTCTTGGGGATAAATAGAATATTTATAGTTTTGGTTTTAATAAGTGGGGTGATTATAACTGATTTAAAAGGGCTCACTTAAAAAATATGATTCTTTTATAGATTTGAGTTACCATGTCCTTAATCATGCTTCAGTGAAAGATCTAAATTTATATTCTTTGAAAATAGAGTTGGCTTATATTAATTCTTCTACATAGTAGATTGTAATTTTGGATGAGCAAAGGCATTAGAAGTGATCCAGCCCAAACCTGTATTTTACTTTGAAGGAAACTGGGGGCCAAATAGTAGGACTGTTTGTTCAAGGTTGCTCTAGTGGCGATAACTGTTGTTAGGTGCCAGACACTGTACTAAGTACTTTGCATGGATTACCTTATTTAGCTAAGAATAGCTCTGGGATGGCTTCTGTTAGCATTTTAAAGGTAATGGAACCTAACCTTGAGACCTAAGAAGCCTATTTTGAAGTCACATAGCAATAATTGACATGCTGGGGTTTGAAGTCTGGTGGTCTCTTTCCAGTATATAGGACCTTAATTTTGTTCATCTATTGTCAGTAGTTATTTTATTTGATACGGCTAATCTTAGAAACCCATTTTCCTGAATCTTCATTAGCTATCCCTGCTATTGGATCAGCCAACTTTACCTAACCAGTGCTTTATACTAAAATCATCATTAGTGGTGATCATGCTGTGATAGAATTTTTCCACAGAAACCCTAAACTTCCATAATTGCTTTTCTAGCCTTTTTAAAATACGCCTTTTAACTGGTTTTCTGTCATTACACAGAGAACATACAAATATTACTCAGGTACCACTTTTGTAAATATTTCATTTCTGATAATATCTGTTTTTTAAAAAGCCAGATAGAGCGCATACTCAAGCAGGGAGTGGGGAAGTGCAGGAGGAGCAGAAGGAAGAGGGAGAGAGAGAATCTCAAGCTCATCTGCTGAGTGCCGTCTCCATCTCAGGACTGAGATCATGACCTGAGCAGAAATCGAGTCACACTTAACCCACTAAGCCACTCAAGTGCCCCTGATAATATCTATCTTAATATATAAACATAAGTCATATGCTGTTGAAATAATACTTGTTTAACTTAAAGGACAGTTGTCAATTTTAATTAGAACTGTTTCATTTTATGCACTGTGTACACTCAAGATTTTAGATTTTTAAAATCGAATTAAACCTTCATAAAGAAAAATTATTTTAGAATTAAATTTTCATCTCTATTTGGTGTCCATTCACCCAAATATATACATTTTTATATTTACTGCAGCGACAAGCTAGTCTATTATAACCATTTTAATTTAATGTCATAAGATTATTGTAGGAGAAAAGAGAGGGGAATGAGAATTCTGAATTCCACAAAATTTTGGCTTTTGTACTAGTATACAGGTTTTTTAAAGTCAATGGGGGAAAAATGTGATAATAAAGTAATCATAGACCTAAAAAATTAACAAGGTATATTCTTACTTGTGTCAGTATTAAAGTTTCTTTCCCCTACAAAGCTATTAGCACAATGCCAATCAATAAATGTTAGAATGTAAGAGGACCACACACACACACAAAAAAAAAAAAAAAAGATGTAAGAGGAACTTTTAAAAATATGACATTTAAGTTTACTAGTTTGGTATAACTTTTTGTAGTATGGGGTAATGTTGCTCTTACCTGCTTTCTTAGTTTACTAATTGCTAAATTTGCTCTAAATCCTTCTATTTTCTGTGCTAAGAGAGCAGTTAAATTCCCTTGAGGAATAATAACAATTTACCTAATTTTGAGTCCACACATTTGTAGTAAATAAAAATATTTTAGATATTTGGGGTTAGTATACAGGTTGCTAATTAGGTCAAATCAAAACTGGTCTAATTAAATGGCCTCGTCTAAAAGCTGTGTACGTGCATATATTTACAAAATGAAAACAAAAGAAGAAAGAAATAACAAAAGGCAGCCAAATCTTGTCAGATTTCGTATTCTGAGCATGATTCTAAATTGCCTTTTTTCTGTGGCTTTACAGTAATTAAAAGGAAATAGTACCTACATTTTGTATACTTCCTGTATACTTCAAGGACTAAGAAATCTACTTTGAGGATTCAGTTCTTTTGAAGTGCTCGTAAAATTGATTTTTTTGTTGTACCTGTAATTCACCATTAGAATAGCTTGCCTATGGATTGGAAGACAGATGCATAAACTTCCTAATATTCATGGCCCATATCCTTGGCCATAAAACATTATAAACTTTTATGCATGTATGATCAGATATTCTAATATGCATCATAGTTCATTATGGTAAAATTTCTACAGTTAGTGACAAAATTATTACCCTTCCATAAGCTATTGAAGCTGGGAGGAAGGTAGCCCAGAGCAGTCAGGAGACAGTAATGAAGCTTAGTTGTAAAAGGTAACACAGTCAGAAATGAAACCAGAAAGGACAAAGATCCAGGACTCTGATCTGTTACTATATACTATCTGTTTTCATTTTGTGCCAAAATACCGTGCAAATAATGCTTAGAGCATTCCTACCTTCCTCTAATAATTGACTTTTTTTTCCTGGAGAGAGAAATTTTTTTTAGAAGACTGAATCGGTTCCTCTTATGACAAGCAAAGTTTTAGTCTAACTTGACGGTTGATTAGTAAGCATTACTAAAGCTTACTAGTGCATCTCGGTCTTCATTCTCCCCCTGATTTTCTTGAACTTTCTAGGAACTTTTCTAGAAGCCAGTCCAAAATTCAGATCCTTGGTAATCTTTTCAGCAAGAAAAGTCTATAGGTGTTTTCTCTTGGTTGAGGCACTTGGTGAACTGTGCTTGCTTTTGATCTCATTCTTCTTTGATTCTGTGTTTTTGACCAAAACAGTGTACACATTGTTAATAATCAGGGAGCAGTTTGAATCTCAGTATTAAATCCTGATTTGGTTTGGGTGTTGAGACTGGTTATTTGCTACTCAAAGTCTGTCAAAGGCTCTTCCTCTGTCTTGCTTCTGACATAGTAGCATCTTTCCACTTAAGTAAAAGGATTCCTTGTAATAGGGAGAGTATATACATATATATATATACATACATATATATATATATATATTGCTAACTGAATCTGGCATTTGCCTCTTTCTGTTGTTTCACATAATTGCCAACATCGTACATTGGTGTTAACTGAGGGAGTACTCTTAAAACTTAATGTGACTTCTGAACTTTAACTTGGTTATCTTTGATATACTTAAATATATAAACTTAAAAACATATAAAAATATATAAATATACAAGGTTAATTTTTTTTTCTCAGCTGCCTTTTTAATGACACTTTAAATAAACCTGAATACTTTTTAAATGGCTGTAACAGTAAAACCTTATTATTTGGACAGAAGTAGGGAGGGATGGAAGTGGCAAGTGGGTTTGACTGGTGATAAGTTTAAATTATAGAATATTTTAAAAGAAAAATAATTGAATCTAGGTTAATAACATCTAGTGCAGATTTGTGACTTTAACTGGCAACCCATTTATGAGGAGCCAGGTTCCACAGTCTTATCCCTGTTCCAATTATGGTAGCTTTTAGTTACTGCCCACTTTCCCTTTTTAACTTTGAGAAGTTTTCTAATTCTACAGTCTAGGATGAATTTAAAGCTTAGATCATACACAGATTTTGGTTGGGAAGATATATCCATTAGGAATGAGAGCTGACTGGACAGAACAGGAAATCCAGATAATAATGGTGAAGTAAAGTAAAATGGATATTTATATCTCCCATATAAAAAGAACTTGAATCTGGAGTTGGTGTGATAGCTCCATGATCAGAAGGACTCAAGCTGTTTCTATTTTTCTATTCCACCTTCTTACCACATACTTAACCATCTTCAAGGTCATCTGTAAGGAGTTTTTCCTGAATTCCCACCTAATAGTTTCTTGCACATTTCATTGCCCTTTAAGAGAAGATGCTCCAAACAAAATCAGTGTTTACAAAAAGAGGGAGGGACAAAGGATATTGAGTAGGCACCAAGCAAAATCAGCCACAGAGGCCTTTCTAGTAATTAAAGGTCATTCCACGTTGAAGACAAACTATTTGAGCTATAGCTAATACCAACAAGTAAGCTCTGATGAT